ATATAGCACATTTTGACAATGTAGATTGTGTCAAAGCATCTTAACAAAAATAAAGAATGAAAAAATTAAAGGCCATAATATTGTGGAACATTCCAGCAATTCAGTAATGAGAGTAGTGAAGGCCATTACAGGCCTCTAAGTTGACAGGTAGACAACCCATTGGCTTATAGTAAAGACAGAAAGATCATTAAATGGACAGGGAGACAGACAGACCACTGACCAACTGACCGCAAAACATGGAGAGATGGACAGATAAACAGAGAGACATACAGATACAAAACAGACAGCGTTTTATCTACTTAAATAGTCTTAATTCAATATGATTTAATGAACAATGAAGAAGTACTGGGTTGTGCCTGGAAGGGCATCCATTGTTTTAAATCAATGAATTAAGAAAATAGAGTTTGCACCTTCTGCTACGTACATAAACAGCATCATGATGCAGTGTGTGAGCAGGAGCCTGTTAATATGGGGCCCAAATAAACTATTAATATACACTTTAAAAAATTATGAAACAGACCTTACAGCTGCCATGAGATCATTTTATTAAAAACATGAAAGACTCTTGGACTTCATTTCGCACATAGCCTTTACTGTCACAAGTCCAGTGATTTACAGGGCCTTGGTTATTAATAATTTTTTCATCAACTCAACTTCTTGTTAGAGAAAAAAAAGTTAAGCAGAAAAAGCCAAAAATAACTCACATTTTGACAAGCGGTTGGTCCAGTGCTTCAGTGAAAACATTGAAAAGTAATTTACAGAGGGCTAAAGGGGATTCAAAGACAAGCTAAAATGCTCCACTTAAACACTTCACCCAAAACTATGGTATAGACTTACAAAATCGAAATAAGTTGTGGAAACAGAGTCTTACCAGTCCAAACACAGCATAAATAACTGCAGTATCAGATGTATCTTGCATCTTGAACAAGACAAATATCTATCCACTGTGACAAGAACACGGAAATAAGTTGTTAAGTATAAGAGGGATGGCATGCGATGAACGCTGCATCAGTTTTTCCAGAGGATATGAAGGTTGAGGCGAGTTTAAAAGGTGCAGCTGGACACCATTTAAGAGTCTCTTTTCATGTGAGTTTCGTGAGTCAGATGAAAGGAAGGTCAGTGCCTGTCTTATTCACTGTGTGGATGCCTTTGTGTCAGAGAGGCAGTCTAAACCACTGCAAGGTTTGGGTTAAGGCTCATTCATTCCCTGAATTATAGAAGACACTACATGGATTCACATGATACAATGGAAAAAACAAACCATTACTCATTCCGAAGCTATTCATTTACAGAAAGCAATCAAGTCACAGTTAAAAGTGTATTTGAGTCAGCCCCAAGGCACCAAGGTGTTCACGGTGACCCGAGTTCGATACCTGGCTTGAGGTTCTTTGCCAACCGTTTCCCTATCTCTGCTCCCCTGTCTCTAAATCTCCACTGTCCTATCACAATAAAGGTGAAAACCCATAAAAAATAATTATTAAAATATATATGTATATGTGTGTGTGTGTGTCTTTGAAACTGTTAAATAAAGCAGGGAATATGCATTTTTTCAGCCCACGACCCCTAAAATAACAACTCCAGTGACTCATGACCCACACTATGCTGGTGGTTATAAGCATACAAAGGTGGTTATAAGCATATAAATATTGCACACAATGGTGTACACACACCGATAGGAACTATATAAACATGAGCATATTGACAACACAAAAAGGTGCAACAGTCTTAAATATTTTTTAAAACCATTATTAATTTGATCAATTTAATATCGACTTGACTTAATGTTAATGGTGAGCACAATGTGTATAGCACGAGACAGTTCTTGGTTTAATTTTGGAGACTTGGAGCCACTTAGAGATCATCCTCCTTGTTTAGTTGCAACCTTTATTTTTAATGTAAGTGAGTGCCATAAAGGTCTCAAAGTTTACTATATTCCTGAGAGATTATTCTGCGTTGAATCTCACCAAGCTACAAAAAGCTGTTTGGCTGGCTGGCTTAACTTGGTACAAATGAGTACATTAAATATCTGGACTTTTTGGACTGGCTGCTGATAAAATCTTTATGTTTATTGCACAAAACAATGACCAAGAACCAGCATGATTGCCTTGTTCTGTATACTTTGTTTTTTGTTTTTCTGTTAATTTCTATTTATTGGATACCCCAGTTTAAAGAGACCCCAGGGAAGGGGGGTGGGGTAGTTGAATCGATATATTTCATTATATATTTATTTCTGCCAATATGTTTTGTTAACAATTTTTTTTTAAATAGATATCTCCAATTTTATTTAATTCCATTTGTTTTACGCCCACAGTATGCAACTTATGTTTTGTTTAAAAGCCAGTTAATATTATTATTAGGTAAATACTTAATTAACATTAAACATATAAAACACTGACAAAGAAGCAGATGGAAAACATGGGCCATTGCCACTGAACATGCTTATATTTCCAGCGAGACCAGAAAAACATTTGAAAAATCCATTATTCGCATGCTTTTACGCTGATTGTAAAACATAACTTTACTTCAGTCTTGCATATAAATAATGGATGAAAAGGACCTGCTCATTTTTTTATTTGACATGCTGGAACCAAGATCACTGATCCTAAAAAATACATCAAATTAAACGGTGCACAAAATCTGTCCCATTGAACTACAGTCTCTGTTTAAGCTGGTGAGACCAAAAGAACAAAAACAATTGGTTCTTCGCCATAGATCTGATCTGGTTCAATGTCCTGATGAAGAACAGAACTTTTTCAAATCCATTTAAAAGGAGTATCTAAGGTGTATTCAGAAATCTAGTCTGCCATGACAAACTACAATGAGAGATTCAATCTTCCTGAACTGAATCTTCATGTTTTTGCTATCTGCCTGGCACAGGTGTTGGGACTGGAAAACATTGAAGGCATAAATGGATTTGCTCATTTGAAGCACGAAATTCAAAGCAAAAAAATTGATTTTCACCATACGGACATTGCATTTTTTAATTATCTTCATTAAGTCATGATTTATGTTAAATACATACTAAATAAACATAAATATATACTACATACATTTGGAGTCATGAAGCTGTTCCAATTATACCTCCAATGATTGAGCATAAATCATATGGTGTTTCAGACGCTAAAGGTAAGCAGTTAAGGGAGTTAAGAGAGAGCTGTTTTTATATAATCCATCATAGCTGCTGTATTTGGATCGAATGTCAAGCTGTCTGCCAGTTTCAGCTCAGCTAAATATTTAGAGGCCTGTCATTTAGCTTTCGTGAAGTGCCAGGTAACTTGTCAGTGATCCACAGAAAATACAGAGCTATAGTTCATATAGTTACTTAAAGTGCTGCCCTATAGTTTAAGGTCAAAGTCTCTAGTGGAATGGAGGTTTCAACAGGGGGTCTGTGTATAAAAATCAAAACAAAGTTAAATATAATAATAATAATGGCAGGGCAGCGTGGTGGTGCAGTGGGTAGTGCTGTCACCTCACAGCAAGAAGGTCACTGCCAGACTGGGTCTGTGTGGAGTTTGCATGTTCTCCCCGTGTTTACGTGGGCTTCCTCCAGGTGCTCCGGTTTCCCCCACAAGTCCAAAGACATGCGGTATAGGTGAATTGGGTAAGCTAAAGTGTGTGTGTGTGTGTGTTTCCCAGTGATGGGTTGCAGCTGGAAGGGCATCCGCTGCATAAAACGTATGCTGGATAAGTTGGTGGTTCATCTCGCTGTGGCAACCCCTGATGATTAAAGGGACTAAAGCGAAAAGAAAAAGAATGAATGAATGAATAATAATGGCTCAGTGGTTAGAACTATCACCATAAAGCTAGAAGGTTGTTAGTTCAAGTTCCAGCTGGGTCAGTTGGCATTTCTGTGTGGAGTTTGCATGTTCTCCCCATGTTCTTGTGGGTTTTCTCCGGGTGCTCCGGTTTTCCCCACAGTCTAAAGAAATGCAGTACAGGTGAATTGAATAAACTAAATTGGTCAGTGTATATGAATAATACAAAACAAAACAATAATTTAATTGTAAAGAAATATTGTAAAACAAAAAAACTAATTTAATCTAAATAATAAAAACAAAGAATAAACAAAACAATCTGAACAAGGTTTTAAAAAATTACGGAACAAAAACAAACAAAACGGGCAAAACAAAGGGAAATAATTAATTTTAAAAAGGATGAAAACAAAACCAAAAGGAAAAAGGAAAATTATGCAAAAAGTGAAAAGAAACGAAAAACAAAACAATAAGTGAAGAGAAAAGAAACGGTGAAAAAAACTTAACTAAATAATGAAAGCAAGGAACAAGCAAAACAAAGTGAAACAAAAAGTAAGCTAAATAAAAATGTTTTAAAAATCAAATAAATAATTTAAAAAAACTTCAAACTAAAGCAGAAAAAAAAGAAGTGAAACAACACAACAACAAAAAACAATCAATCCATTCTCCAAACCACTTGTCCTAGTTTGGAGAAACGCTGGCTAACAATGAACAAAACAAAACAAAACAAAACAAAACAGAAAAATGCTTGTCTTGCAGGGAACAGGAATGCTAGATAATAATAATAATATAATAAATAAAATAATAATAATAATAACAATAATAATAATAATAAAACACTTATTCTACAGGTCCACACAAATCCCTGCTAACAAGAGTAACTTTCACAAAAATAAGATTTCATTAACTTTTTTATGAATAAGCAAAAGTTTTCTACAAAGTCTCTCTATTCAAAAAGGTCACTAATGGAGAAGTTCAGATATTGGCTTACACTACAAACACTTCAGTCGGTAATCTGGTTAAATCCAGGACACACAATGCAGACCTTAGTGATGGAAGTATCCCAGAATCTCTTCTGTCTTTTCCATAGATCTGTGACCTCTGGGGAGATTACAGAGGAAGAAAAGTTCCTTACATTTATGACATGGTCCTCTCGCCAGCAGCACTGATCTCACAGAGAACCTCACATATGTGATAAAATCCACCTAAGTTTGCAGGATTTTCAGCTCATCTTTATGAGCTTTATGTGATGGTGTAGTGCAGCTGATTGATATGAGTAACCAAAATGTGATGGTGCTGTGCAGCTGATTGGCATTGACATCGGCCAATCGGCACGTAGCACCGCCTTTTTAAACCTGATTGGTCGGTGCTTGGGATACGTCACGTCCGACTCCGACGCACTGGTTTGGGTGTCTGTAGCCGCGGCTACAGGTAGAGGCTCTGCGCTCGTTCTGAATTTTGTAAGTTGTTTGAATCGACCCACGTTAAGCTCTCTTTTGGCATTGTTCTAGTGCATCGTGTGGCGGTGGCTTTTCCCTTGGCTGTGGTGGCTGGATGACTGTTCAGTTGCAGGTATGTGATGGCTTTGAACTGGCTGAGTAATGGGGTTTAGTCGCATTTTAACCTGCGTGTTTCATGCTGTACAGCTATTAATTCCGGCACCTCGCTGTATTGTATCGACCAACGAGTGATTTAGAACGTGTCTGAGGTGCGCCCATTGGTAAGTGAAGCACGTATGATGTGGTGTGATCATTTAAAGGACCATGTTAATGGGCTTGTTTGCGCTTTTCCTCCTTAGGATCCTCCCTTTTCCCCTTTCTCTCTTACGTCGGATCTTCCTCTGGTATCATTTGCTTACTAGCTCCCGTGTTCATCGCTATTGCCGTGGTTACTCGAGACCGTCTGCAACTGCTGCTAATGCTAACGGCGGCGTATTGGCTGCCGCTTGGACACCACCAATGCAGCTGCTAGCGGGGACTGCCTGCAATAACTCTTAGCGTGCTGCTTTGTGCTCCCCTTCATTCTTTCATTTGTTTATTTGTTGGATAATTGATTTGTCAACATAAGCATTCTTCTGTTTTTTTGTTGTGTCTATTTATGCAAAGTATTGATTTTGTTTTTCGTTATTAAGAGTATTCTTTTGTGAATTTAGTCTTTCTAGTAACAGTTAATGTTGGGTCTAGTGTAGGTCAGATGGTGTAAATACAGCTGTAGCTATCTTTCAATTAGATCATGTAAAGTAGGTGTTAACCTGATTGACCCACTTATTTGTGTTTTGTTGGTTATTGATTTTTATTTTTATTTATTTCAGGAACTGAGGTTTCCCCCGGTGGATGACGGGTCACTTTCCACTGGTGGTGGTGTTTCTCTATCGTGTGCTGTGGACACTGAGTGCGTGATTTTTGAGTGCACTGTGGTGTGTGCGTGTGCTGGGGTAAAGTCTGTCCACTCGTACCCAGTCAGTGGGAACCTCCAATCCTGGTTTGGTTTTGTTTATTTATTGTTTCTTGTGTTTAATAATGAAGTGGGAGTTTTTGATGTATTTTTAAGAACCGTACCATTTGGTAGTTTTATTCCAAATAAATATTTTTGTACTTTTTCATTAACTCACGTCTCTGTGCCTTTCTGGGAGAAACGAACCTGTGTCCTTTTCTAATAGTTGTTTCCCTGGGTAACTCCTGGGGTGGCGTAGTCGGTTATTTTTATTTACAGAGATTTAAACCCTACTCGATACCCTCGTCACATTCATTTAAGAAGTTCTTTGAGAGGAACTTACTACACCCTGCAACCATTAGCGTGAGATGGAAGTATGCCACGTATTGCTGAGCCGCAAATTGGCTTCTTGAAATGGACTGGAGCAAAGTCCTGCTTCTCCACATGTCTTCTTTAGTGTAGTCTTGAACATGCAATCTTTTAATTTGAATGAAAAAGAGAAAGAAAACACCAGCATTTTTAGCCAAAAGCTAATTCAAACCGTGCATGTGATCTTGATTTATAATATGCAAATCTCTCTTTTCATTTCAAAACCAAGTCTTATTGATGGACTAAAGGTTTATATTCTTGTCAGCAGTGGCCAGTGGAATATTAGGACTGATCCATCACCCATGCAGATGTGAATGAACACGTACAGTACTGTTTACATACACAATAAACCATTCAGGCAAATGAACTGTAGCCTCATATGTAGGCATTCACTGTGGAATGTCTTTATGAAAACAGTTTTGATAACCTTCCTTTATCCAGCATACTTTGTGGAAAGAAAATAGCCTAAGAAAACTCCTACCGTGGAGCAAAACATGATACAATGTCAAGATAATTTGAGTGTGTACTATTCATTTCACTTAAATAAAGGGTGTGGATACGATTGTGCATATTAATCATAATGTAATGAATCATGATTTTTCTATTAAAATATAAAGGAAGGGATGGTACTGTGGGTTGTTTTAAACATTAAATGGATACAAACCTCGCTATGGCATTGCTAGAGTTGTTACTAGTGGATTGCAAAGGTGTTGGTGCTTGACTCAGTATCACATTGCACATTCATAAAAGTGCTGTTTGTTTTTTTGGAATTTTTTTTGATACTATTCTGGCTGAACCACCAAAGGCATATGTATGATGATCTGTTTTAAGGGATTTTATTTTTCAACATTATTTATTGATGTAACTTTCCCCAACACTGTTTGTGGGTTTTTGGGGCACTGGAAGGTTGTTTCTCGGGTCTTTTGGGGCTGCTGGGCATCTTCTTAGGTAGCTTCAAGGGTTTAATGAGTGGTAAGATAAATTTTGGCTAGTAGGGCATTGTTCACAGCTACTATGGTGTTCTAGGAGGTATTTGAGATTTTTATTAAAATGGAATGTGAATGCTCTGATGTTTTGGGGTGTTTACAAAGTGTTGCAAATGGTTACTAGGGTGTTGCTAAGTGTTGGGGTAATGAATTACAAGTAACTTAAGTTACCTTATCAGATTAATTTTTTTCAAGTAACTGAAAAAGAAACTAGTAGAGTAACTAATAACTAATTACTTTTTAATTTTATTTCCTTTTCCTAACACTGGTTACTATATTGACTGATAACTTCACTGTCACTGTGTTAAAAGGAATCATGAGTCCTTTTCAAGTTCAGATTTGTTTTGTATGATGGGTAAACATGACACTTACTGTGGTTCTAGCTTAAATGTGAACATGTATTTACTTATCTTAATACAGACTCAGTATCACAATCCACATTCATGAAAGTGCTGTTCGCTATTTTGACACAAAAGTATTCTGGTAGCTTGATAATATTCTGACTGAACCACCAAATGCATATATATGATTTGTTTTGATGATTAGCTTTGGTATTTTTTATGAATTTTTAAAGTTATAGTCAGGAACCTTGCTGTGGATGGAGGATGAGGGAGCTCTCAGATTTCACTTTAAAGATGAACGAAGGTTTCAAGCAATTGGAATGACATAATAATTAATAGCATAATTTTCATTTTTGAATGAACTAACCCTTTACAATCTGAAAAAACTGCACAGAAATAAATATCTTATAATTAAGAAACAAGCAAGCCCAGACCTGAAAAAAGTCATATAATGGCCCGTTTCCACTGAGTGGTACAGTACGGTTGGTACGAGTCGGTATGGGTGACTTTTATCAGGCTAGCGTTTCCACTGCCAAAAAGGTACCATTGGTGGCATTGTGTACAGCAGAAAGATTCAGTCAATTTCATTTTCACTCGAGGAACTGTCAAAGTAATGCTGTACGGATTGTTCACATATGGAAAGCACTTCTCCCAAAACAAATGCTTCATACACATGATTACTTGTGTATAAATGTTCATTACCACCCTTTCTATGAACAAGATTTGATTATAACTGCAGATCAATGAAGTGCGAAATAGCCTACTGTAACATCTGCGATTATATAAAATAAATAGATAAATGCAACATATATGAACACATACAGACCCTTACAGTCTCTGATATGTTACCAATTACAGAAAAACTACACACAGCATACATTTAATCCTTATTTGGGTTCAAAAACAACACGCAACATATAGCCCACAGTCAGTGCAAACCTCTAATCTGTATTTTAATGCTTCACCAGCACATGTAACCAGTAATTTCGTCATTCTGATTTCATAATAATACAAAAGGTGATGATAGTTAAACATGGCAGTTTGTTCACGTTTTAGGTTGCTGTAAGAATCCTTTGCTCCTTTGTTTTTTCCGACTTCTCCTTTGTTTTTTCGTGTTTTACTCTCACGTTGGTCCGTTTCTGAAAGGATTGGATGTCAGAAGCACTTCAATAATCATGTGCATGTTATTATTATCAGCATGTTATTATTATCAGCTCAAAAAGTTTGTTATTTCAATTATAGACACGCAGCTCCATATGCGAGAAAGCGAAACTGCTCTCGCTTTAGACGGCCTTGTAAACAACTACAGGGCACAGGGTAGATTCTGCTCATCTTTTTGGCTTTGTAGCTGTTCATCAAGACGACGACAACGTTTGTTTAAGCTCGGGTCAACCATGGCTCGTTATTATATGTATATATTATTATGGTGTAATGTCTCGGCTGTGTATTTAAAAATGTAAGTTGTTTTTTTTATTCTCCTGGATTTTGCACGAGCTAGTGACATATCTCCGTAAACCAATAGTGTTCAGCTGCGTGTCTTGCTCCGCCTATTGGTACCCTTTTGTTGTGCTAGGTACCCTTTTAAAAGGGTATGCAAAAAGTGGTAAGGTACAGTTCACTTTTAGGTACCTTTTGACAGTGGAAACGGCCATAAAGGCGTACCGAACCGTACCACTCAGTGGAAACGTGCAATAATAATACATTACTTTTCTTAAAAAATAACGTAAGATAAGAGTGTAATGCATTACTTATAAAGGGACTTTCTCCAACACTGCTTGCTATTTGTGGGTTTTTAGGGCACTGGAAGGTAGTTTCTCAGGTCTTTGGGGGCTTTTGGGCATCTTCTTAGGTAGCTTCTTGGGTTTAATGAGTGGTTAGATTACTAGTGGCTAGTAGGGCATTGATGATGGCTGCTAGGGTGTTCTGGAAGGTATTAAGGTATTTTTGGGTGGCTGCTAGAGTATTTGAGATTTTAATTACAATGGAATGTGAATGCTCTGAAGTTTTTGGATGTTTGCAAAGTGTTGCAAGTGGTCACTAGGGTGTTGATAATCCCTAGGACACTGCTGGGAGGTTGCCAGTGTATTCTAGGTGGTTACCATGTGATTTTGGGTGGTGTCTAGGTTGTTGTGGTCACTAGGGTGTAGGTGGTTACAAAGTCATTGCTATACAGCTACTAGGGGTGGTTGCCAGGATGTTTGAGATTTCTAGTGCTTTGTGAGATATATGCTTAGATCTTTGTAGGGTTGTTATAAGTGGTTACTAGGACATTGTTGAAATCTACTATTATCTGTATATTGTGGGTAGTTACTAGGGGGTTATTGGGTGCTTGCTAAGATGTTTGAATTTCTATGGAATTTCTCAAATCATTTTGATTGTTTCTATAGCTTTATGAATAATTATTAGGGTGTTTAGATAATATTGGTTGCTTTAAGTTGCTTTTTTAATCCAAGATTATTCTAGTCTCAATAATATTCAGAAAATATCATACCCTAGAATGAGATCTTATTCATATGCTTAAATTATGAAAAAGTGTGGAAGAAGTAACTCACCAAACATCGTCTGGAAGAACG